TTTTTATCTTAAGACACATCTGGGCTCCAGATAACGTTTGCCCTTCTCCCCTCATCCTGTTCCCCAGTTCCCACCCCCTTCATTCTGTTCTTGAACACTCCACAAACACCCTAATAATATTTTATGTCATGGTCTGTCTGGTAGCAACGGCTGCCCACAAAAGCACTAATGGGATGTTTCATCTTTTTCAAAAGCAGTGGGGCCAGATCTCACAGCAGCCCCCACCACAGCCTTCTGGAGAAGCACGCTTGCTCTGGGGGCACAGCCCTTCAGGATACTCAGCTGAGCTGGATGCAAAGACTTGGAGGAACTGCTGCAACAAAGAAGCAACTGCCTTAGAACAAGCAACATATCCTGGCCCTCTGCACAGCCCAGAAACACCCACAAAACCAGCACAGGCAAGCACCTGCCTGCACGGGACAGCCGAGAATCTCTTCTGTCCTCCCACTGGTAAGTGGGAGGAACATCACAAAACAGATTAAATCAAACACCTTGCAGTACAGATAAACCTCAGTTTTACCGAGGCAACACGAGCCAGCTGGAATATCTGCAAAACCTCCAGCCCATAAAAGATTGCTGACAAGATGCTCTGCTTACCTCTGAGTCGTAGTCTGCGAGGATCCAGGGGAAGACAGGGTACTGCATGAGGTCATTGTAGGACCTGCCCGCCAGGGTGTTCAGGTGCATCAGGTACTGGAAGTTACTGATCTCTCCTCTCTTAGGGAAGACAGACAACACCACTGTGAAGCACCCACATCACAGCACCCAAATGTCTGTGCTGTCTGACTGCCAGAGCATTCAGCTCTCCCCAAACACACAACACTTCCTTCAGTAGTACAAAGCTCACTCCACTTTTGGCCTTCATAGATTGATAGCATGGTTTGGGCTGGAAGGGACCTCCAAAGGTCATCCCAGTCCAACCCCTCTGCAGTCTGCAGGGACATCTCCAACAAGGTCAAGCTGCTCAGGGCCTCATCCAGCCTGACCTTGAACATCCCCAGGGATGGGGGCTCCACCACCTCTCTGGGCAGCCCATTCCCCAGTGATCCATCACCCTCATACTAGAGAACTTTTTCCTAACATCTAACCTAAATCTACCCCAGCTTTCACCACAGCCCTTCCTCCTGCACTTCCAACAGTAGAACCATTGCTTATTTTATGATTTTAACATGAAATACTACAAACTAATATGTTGAGAGACACTTTCTATAGTAGTATATTCTACCTGTTCAAATAAGAGGATACAATTTATGGCACTAATTAATTACATATTACTATAAAATGTGGAACTTAGAAAGAAAAACAACCCAGAATTTCATACTTACTTCCCATCTTTGAGTAACAGATTTTTCTCCCACTAAAGTGCTAAGCAAGCCAGACCTAGTGGGAAGAAGGAAATGCATTTTCTGACTCAGCAGTGAGATCAGGGTTCCATCTTCACAAGACAATACAACATTTCAAGATTAGAACTTATAAACTGTAACAATTAGAAAGACAAGGCTTTGTTCCTTTTTGCTTTAGCAGTGCCTTTGCTATTTCTAAGCACATACTGTTAACATTATGCACATTAATGATGCAATTCAGTGCAAGTACAAATATATCTTAGAGTCTGCCAATAAGGAAAATATCTTTACAAACTTGACAAATCTGATGGCTTGGGCACTCCAGCTCCTTTCAGAACACAACACTGGCAAGGTTAATCCTGACAGCACAGATTAATTGGTAAGAACATCTACCAATGCTGCTAACGACGTCAGTGCATTTCAAATAACCACAACACAGCATCACTACCTATTTAATTTGGTCATACCCAATTTTAAATTCAGGTTGCAGTGAATCCTGACCACTACACACATCATTTATTGGAAACTCAGGAGCCTGTGAGGAGCAGAATCACCTACCCTTGCTCCACGCTGGTGTTTGGTCTCTGCCCAGACACCGACTCCGAACTGTCAGTCAGAGATGGCACCACAGCCAAAAACCTGCAGCAGCAGGGAGAAGATTGACATGAGCACTCCTGTCCTTGGTATGTCTTCTCCTTGGGAACACTGCATTTAGTCTGTGTGACAGCTTCAACAAGATGTTCCCACAGAGCACACGCCACCAGTCCTGCACTGGGGCCTCCTGGTGAGTCCCTCGAGCAGCACTGAGCTGCTGTCAGGTCACCTGCTGCCCAACACCCACCACCCTCACAATCTGCTTCTGGTTGTTAGGGCACTGTGGGCCCAAACACAGCTCAACACAGACATTTGCAAACATTCTAACTTATTTTACAGTACCTTTGATAAACTTTGTTCCTAACCCCTTTTTGGAAAGCTAGAAGATAGTTCCGTCCGTCTCCTGAGAAAACTTCAATTGCAATTGGCTGAAAACAAGAAGGACAAACCCATGTCAACACTGATGCATCTGCTCATCACCTGAGGGTGAGGCACAGAGCAGTTTAGTCCCACTGTACTACATCTGACACCAAACTGTGGTGAGGCAGACTTGCCTCAGTGCAGCCAGATGTTTTCCTTTTGGAACACCAAAATTCACTCATGCACACCACAAACCAAACCACAGCAAGCCAAAGAGTCAGACAAGGATGCCCAACTTAAACACCTCATTTCAGCACAATGAATGGTTTCACTTCCCAAATATTTATCAGTTACATATTTATTTTACTTTTTAAACATGACAACACTGTAAAAAATTCCAAATCTGGCTCCTCAATCCAACAACAGTGTCAAAATTACCTGCAAAAGGTATCTCCTTTTATGCACTTCCTTGATATCCTCATAGGCAAAAATGCTGCATGTTCTTTTGAGCTGACTCGGGCCCTGCCTTGCTCCCCTTGGTATGATTGGTTCATGCATCCTGCAAATGAGCAAAACAGGCAAGAGAGAAGAGATTAAAAAGAAGATAAATTAAAAGAATTATTTGCTTCATTCAGATGAGAGTCCAGCAATAGAAACAGTTGATTTTCACAATTTACTGTACTGAGCAGTTTGTCAGCACGGAGGAAACTGCTCCAGGGGTCTTTCTGAATGTGACATTATTGTGCAGCTCACTCCTCAGAGCTGTGTCTGCTGAGGTGCTCACTTTGGAGGCAGCGTCTCGATGTCCCGGATCTCTCTGGTGGCTGTCATGGTGAAGCCATCGATGACATAGAAGTGCTCCTTCCCAAAGAGGAGCAGCCCCTCGCTGGTGTCGAGGCCCTGAACGCGGGCACAGCGGTACATGTGCTGGATCTGGGAGGGAAAGCAGACACTGAACAAAGGCAAGGTAACGAGCTCAGGCTCAAAGCACTGCTTTGTTAGGACAAGCCCCAGACACTGCTCTGCCACGTGGAGATACAGCAAGAATTGTGCAGTTTCCCCCTTAACCAGAGGCATACCCAACGCCCGCGATTAGCAATGTGACAAGGAGTTAAATAAAGCCTCCTCTGTGTGGTCTGGATTTATATATCAACCAACTTATCCTCTCACACCACACTTCTGAGGCATATTTTAGAACCTGTAGCTCACTTAACAATGATCACAAATGTATTTAGTGGTATATTTCAGGCAGACAAAGTCTGGAATACCAAATACAAAGCATGGTCATTCTTGGAGATAAAATAATTGTAGCTCACTTAACAACGATCACAAATGTATTTAGTAGTATACTTCAGGCAAAGTCTGGAATATCAAATACACAGCATGGTCATTCTTGGAGATAAAATAACAAACAAGTTATCAAGGTTTTACAGCCTAATGAAAGGAACAATTGTCATTACAGACAATCCAAGAAGTTCAGTATTTACATTTTCTATGTATTTTTTCTGTCTGGACTCCTTAATCTAACAGGATAATAAACCAAGCATGGGATAGCTCACAGCTTTCATTTCAGGACAGGTTCTTTTTTCTCTAGCAGGAAGAAGGAAAGAGAAAGAATGTTCCCAGTTCAGGGTTTTCAGCTCAGGATGACTCTGAACCAGAACACGTTTGGTTTTGAGGAAGAAGGTGACAAAATACCAAGCAAATTCAGCTTGTGACACACAGTGCAGATATTCAGGCCCAGTAAGTGCTTAGTGTGTGTGAAGGACACAGTACCTTCTCTCCTTCCTCGAGGAGCCGAAGCAAAGTCGTGTTGTCAGTCTTCTCCTCCTCGTCGATGGAACTCCCCTCAACGAGCTGGTCCTGGGACTGGTCCTGGTTCTCATCATCTCCCCCGTCAGGAGCAGAGCGAGATCGTTTCAGGGGAGGCTTCACCAGGCCTGGAAAAGAAGAGCAGGGGATAAACAAATAAAAACCTGACATTAAAAATTCACTTGCCAAAAACTTGGAAGCTACTGATCCAGGACACACGAGTCCCGCGGGATCCTTGCGCTTAACGCAACGCGGGAGAAGCTGAAAAAGCAGATGAATTCAAAGCAAAGAGCTCAAGACAGAGCAAGAGAAGTGACCTTTGACTCTGGCGATGGTGTCCTCGCCGTGCTCTGGCTCCTGCTGAGAGGCTTCCCCCAGGCTGCTCTCCTCGATGGCGTCCTGCAGGACGGCGGGGCTGCCCGAGGCCAGGCGCATGTAGTACTCCTTGCTGTCGTAGCTGACGGCGCGCCGGTACCGGGCGGGCTTCTGGGGAGTGAGGGGAGATTGTCTGCTCAGCCAACCCCCCCTCGCCCCGTGGAGGTGTCCCAGGGCACTGGGTGCAGCACGGTGCGTGCCCATCCAGTGCTCTGTGTGCTCAGTCACACACCAACCTGCCACTGCAGCCGCCCCAGTGCCAACGGGCTGGCAGAAACGCCTGCGGATAAAGCTAACTGGGAAACAAGAAGGGTGGCCAGGCTGTGGTGAACTGTCACAACAGGCTGGGCTGCTCGTGCTAAAGGCTGAGGAGGTCAGGTGGCCATTTTATCATCTTTCCTAACTCCCCACAACACAGGCTGCTTATTCCTTAGCCAGATGGCAACAGTTTCAATTAAAAATTGCCTCAAGGGAAGATGCACATCTGTGGAAGTTGACAGGAACTAAAAGCAGCTGGGGACTGGCTTTAGGGCTTGGAAATTCTTCAGTAATTCAGTTGGGCTTTTTTTTTTTTGTAAAGATTCTGGTTGGTTGTGAGCATGAGATTGGCACAAGAGGATCCATTTAACCCAATTCCTTGGGCGTTGGTTGTACCTTTGGAGGATGACAAGGGATTATGATACAGTTCATTAGGGTGGTGGTTTGGGTTCTTTTGGGGTTTTTGGCTTGTTTTTTTGTTTTGCTTTGTTTGGGGCTTGTTTTGTTCAACATTTTTTTTAGTTGGTTGGTTGTTTTTTTATCCCCCTTTCTCCATCCTGTCCCCAACCACAGGCTAATTCTATGTTCCTCACTAGATTATAGAGGTGACATTTGAAATACAAATAAGAACTGAGGACAATAAATATGTCAGAAAGGTCAATGGAGATAGAGCTGAAGAGAAAAAAGTTATTAAAGAGTCAAGAGCCTTTCTGAAACTAAAACATGCTGACGTTCAGGGATGGATGAACCCACAGTGATTTTACACTGCAGCTGAGAACTTTCTTCTCTGAATATTGCTTAACCCTGCTCTCAGACTCCAGAAAGCTTTGTCAATGGGTTCAGTTCCCCATCACAAATATTTGTTTTATTTTCTTTTATAAGAAAGAAAAGAAGTTTTTCATTTTCTTTCATTTCCCATGGATTTCAAAATTAGGTTGGGATAATTACAAAACATTATTATTATAAATCCCATTTAATGCTTTCCATTATGTGGAGTTGTACACTAACACTGCCATTTCAGTCAAGATTTTCCCCTGGCCACTTCTGCAGTAATAACTGGAAATACATAAAACGTGATGTGTTGGGGTTTTGTTGGTTGAGCTGTTTGATAGTATAGTGGGAAACTAAATGGCCCATAAAACCAAACTGGCTTTATTAAAAGTGGATGCTCAAGATAATGAGATTAAAATCAGTGACACAGGCATTTATTATTTCTGGTCAAATTGGCTGCCTTCAAAATGAAAAATCTAAGGTACTATGATCTAATTTGCTCACTTATGTTCAACTATGTCTTCACTCCTCATCACCACAAAAATGCCACTTAAATGATGCCTAAAACCTCTGTGGAAACAACTTCAATATGGCCTGAAAAGAGAAATCCTAACAAGCACTGTTAACATGAAGAAAGGAAAACAGCAACAATTTGTATCAGATATTCCGTATAACAGAATTACTGTAATTTCTATGTATTAGTTTATTGCTGAAATCAGTGATGGCACAGTACACGTTGTAGTTAGTGATGGGCAAGACTGTGAGTGTAATGAGGAGAGAAGAGGCCCATGAGCATGGACATCCTGCAGAGCACTCACTTCCAAACAAGTCTGCCACTTTCCAGGCAGGATTCTTCTCTTCAAACAAATGTATGTACTTCATGAATAGCAAAAATGAGGTGAAATCAGCTGAGACAGGATTGTTCTGGGCTCTAACACAAATAGTCCTGTTGCAGCCCATTATGGCCACCAAGAAGAAAAACTGCTCACTAGCTAGATGCTCTCTTGGAAAGAGCCATGGACTTTCCCAGTGAGTGCCCTCCATACCATCGTGTTGCCCATCACTAAACATTCCACCAGTCATTAGTCCAGATCCCAAAGCCACAACACTTCACACAGTGAGAAGAGTGACAGCACAGCCCAACACAGCCTGTTAGTGTGCAGCCAAGTAAGAGCTACAGGAAGTTTTATTAGGTGAAGGCTGAACAGAGCACAGGAACATCTTCTAACGTGATTACTGAAAAACCCCTTAGGCCTGGAAATATTTACTGAAAGAGCAAGTTGAAAGCCAAACGTGGAAGCCTTGTTAAGACTGCCTAACATGCAGGAGGAATAAAGTTGTATTTATTTTACATTCTTGCAGTCAGTGTACTTGTTTCTTTACCTTTTGAGGAATGGCATCATCAGATGTCTCAGGAAGTCTACTTGAGAAGTCAGACTGAAAACAGGGCATCAGTTATATAAGCATCAGAGAAAGAACACTTTAGAGAAGAATGTATGATGGCATGTTCTTCACCTTGTGTGAATTAGACTGTCAGTACAGCCACTCTGTGCCAGATGGCAAGCAGACAAAGACACCTAATGCTTTAAAACTGGTTGAGTGCTATTTCTGTTTTCTTGTTTTAAGTATTTTGACACTTGTGCTTGCTTTGAGGGAAAAAATCCTGCATGTCTAAAAAGACACAATAAAGACTGCTTCATTTCTCAAAAATGGTGTTCCCAACTCAACAGGAACTAACTGCCAAGCTTTCAATGGCCACGTGCATTTCTGCTACACAGCCTACATTCACATTTGCAGACAGATGAAAGCAGATATCCCAAAAGCATCCAAACTAAGGCTTGGGGTTTTTTTTCCCAGATCACTGTTTACCACGTTCTTTAACATAAGGCCAAGAAATCAGACTGAACCCTCCTATAGTTATGATACTTCTCAGGCTCTAGAGGCTTGTGCAGATGCCTCTGCTGTTCACTGGCACGGTCACTGTGCTGCTCTGAGCACACTGCACCTGATGCTGCAACTGCTACTCTCCAAGCTTACTGGAGATGAGTGATTCAGCCTCTTTCCTGAGCATACTATGAGGACCAACTGGACTGGACTGACCATTTAGGACGTACCAAGAGAATAGCAGGTAACACCAACGGGGTAAAATGTGTGCCTTAAAACCCCACAGATTTCACAAGAGGGTGTAAAACGCCTCACCCCAAAGCCAGGAACACGTACCAGCAGGTTTGTCTCTTGCTCAGCTTCGGGCAGGTAGGGGTACTGGATGTAGAACATGTCGTTGCGCACCATCTTCTTCCTCATCCTGCAGGGCCCCTCGGTCATCTCCAGCAACCATTTAGAACATACCAAGAGAATAGCAGGTAACACTAAAATGTGTGCCTTAAAAGAATACAGATTTCACAAGAGGGTGTAAAACGCCTCACCCCAAAGCCAGGAACACGTACCAGCAGGTTTGTCTCTTGCTCAGCTTCGGGCAGGTAGGGGTACTGGATGTAGAACATGTCGTTGCGCACCATCTTCTTCCTCATCCTGCAGGGCCCCTCGGTCATCTCCAGCATCCACTTGTCCAGGTGGGAGCCGATGGGGGGTCCCCAGAGGCCCCGCTCCCGCAGCAGCTCGTACTCCAGCTGGCACCACTCCTCCGCCACGTAGCGCAGGGCGTCCTGCTGCCGCTGCGCACACACGGGGCACACGCATCAGGGGCAGTGCTAAGCCCGTCTCTGGGCTGGGCTGAGACATTCTCACTCCATTTCAGAGACAGTTCACCACATCTCAGAGACATTTTCACTCCATTTCAGAGAAAAGATGTAATTACTCATAGCTCTAGTAGCGTTCTGCAGCTCGCCTTAAGGAGCTTTCTGGTGTCAGCTGCCGTTAAAGTGGGGTTCATGTTGCAGTGTTCTCAATAAAAAAGGAAAGGGAAAGGGCAAAGCTCTGCTTCTGGTTTATATCATTCATGGAGTGTATTTCTAAATGGCAAATGTAAAAGAACTAATCAACTAACACTAATCCATTGATTTTGAGAAAGGATTTTGAGCAAGGAAAGAAAAATCCTTTCGGAGGCCTTTCCAGTCTCTCCTTACACTGGAGAGAGAAGTTAAATGAAGCAAAGTTTGATGGTTGTTTTTTTTAACTAATTACTTGTTTCTCTTAGAATTGGAAGCCAATTTCTTAAGATTGTAATTAAGAAGTAATTGGAAGCCAATTTCTTAAGATTTATAGCCTGCAGCTTGGCAACTAGTTTGAACCCAAGGTTTCTGGGGGACGTTTGGAAGCAACCACAGGTGATGATTTCATTCTGGAAGGCACAGAGCAGCCATTTGTCTGTTCCTGCAGGATTTGGGAAAGGTACCATAAAAGTTTCTTTGCATTACTCTAGAAGTAGTGTTTGTACACAATGATTCCCTGAAGTTTTTGTACAGTATTTTGGGAAGATAGCATGTTCTAGTATATTTCCAATATCTCCCTCTCTCCCTTTTTTTAACCTTTTTTTTTTTACACTGCTAACACTTCTGAGTCATGACTTATGCTTCTTGAAAAAAAAAAATTCAGATGTAATATTGTTACAAGAGTTTTCACCTACAACCAGATCAAAATTAGTTCCTTGATTTATTTGACTGCACTTTAAAAAACCTCTAAAAACAACATCTCTATCTAAACTTCCAAGCATTTCACCAATGACAACCTAATATTTTAGAAGCCTCATATGGAGGAACAGGATCAGCACAACCTAACAGGTCAAGGTGTCAGGGAATTAATCTTCTGAAGCATACCTCCTGATATTCCTTGTACTGCATATCAACCAGGTCCCGAACCACTGCAATGTGAGTGAACATCCACTGGGAGATTTCCTAACACAAAGGGAAGAGGACAAACAGAATAAGAGTTTATAAGAGAAGATTTTCTTGAAATGAAAAGCCTATGAATACATCACCTTGCTAAACTTGCTCACAAAGGCAGTTTGTGGTAGTTATAAAGGTAGTTTCTTTTTAAAAAAAATTATTTAGATGATGAATTTCACACTACTGCATGCAACAGTATTTAAGGTTTGGGGTTTTTTTGTGTTTTCCTCTTTTGTGCCTTTTTTTTTTAATAGGCAGTAAATTCATGTGTAGAAACTGGCAAACATTTGGAAAAATATTCCAAATACATGACTGACAGTTCAGAACATTCCCAAACAGCCAAAGACAGGCACTGACAGATATTACTACTTTTCCCTATATCCTTTGAAGTACTGTTTTTTGATACTATTTTTTGGATGCCTGTTGGAAATGCTCAAGACACCAGCACCCCTCCCTGGGTACTGCAATGTCCCTGCTCCCTCCAGGGGTGCAGTCAGCAAGGGTTCACACCAGCCCAGCTTGTGAGCTCCTTCCTTCTCCTTTTAATGTGCATCCTGCTCACCAGGAAAAGGACTGAGAGCACTGAGAATTCTTTATCTTGCCAAAGCCACTGAAGAACTTGCAGGTCAGAAAGAGAACTGGCAAGGTATCATAGGACACAGACTCCTAAGTTAACAGGAGTTACACCCTTCCTTGTGGCAGGAATACACCTGCCCCCTTTACCCAACGTGTCCCCAGTTTTCAAGTGCTAAAGACAGTAAGAACTCAATCCCCCAAAACTTCCAAACCCCTCTCTTTCCTTTGTTTTCAATGCTTTACACTCACTAACTTAGTTAGTTTACACTAAACTTTATACTGACCCCCTGCAAAGCCCCACAGGTACTGATAAACCATTTACCCTACTGATAAAACCACTGCTGTTCTACTGTGGTCTGATTCTTTGTTCTTTTATTAAGGAAACAGGTTTGTAAAGTGAACATCCACTCCTACCATCACATATTGCTTTGGTGAACTCTTCTCTGTAGCACAAGTGGTGCAAAGCCACATTTGTTTCCTCATGATAGGGATTTTCCTAAACCACATAATCTTGAGGGCAGGATGGAAAAAAAGACAAGCACCTCTCTGTCTCACAGCTTCCATTTCAGAGCAGGACTGCAAACTGAATTTAGGACCCAGACTAGCAAAGGAATAGAGCATCTGTGTAACCAGAAGTTGCAGCTGAGCAGTCTCACCACCACCAAAAAGTGCAATTCTTGGCATATTACAGATGCACTTACTAGATCAGGGGACACAGAAGCAAAAGAACCAGTCTGGATATTCAAAAAGAGGAAAGAAAACCCAGCACTAGGTTTCATTCACATTCTGCAGGATTGCTTGCACTGGAATATTTACCAGAAAGGCTGAACACGCGTTGCTGGATTTTTACCTGTGTGGAGAGGTTGTGTTTGTTCAGCCCACTCTCCTTGCGGTTCCTCCTGGAGCCAGTCAGCTTGGAGAGCCCAAACCCACTGCTCACTCGTGAGAGCTTGGACTGTGTGCTGGGAACCAAAGCCTCCCCCCTGCTGATGCATTTCTTCTCATGAGCTGCAAAACAAAGAGAAAGCCTTTGGAGCAGTTCTTAGGTGGCAGTTTTCTCACTCCCCCCATAACAGTTGTTTTTTTAAAATGAATATGCTTTAAAAAGCTGGATGTTATGGGGATTATGTTTTTTTTGTGTGTATTTTTTGTTTGTTTGAGGTTTTTTTGGTTATTACTTATTTGCTTTCACAGTGCCCAGCAGCATTTACATTCATGCCAAGCATTCATGCCTTGTCTGAGGAAAGGTGCCCAGGTGCAACCTGGGAACTGCTTCATTTTGGAATGAAGCATGACAAACAGATTTGTTACTCATTTTATTGATTATCAGAAATGGTGTCCATGAAATTCTGTCCTTATTGGAGGAGGTGGAAACCAGCTATGTACAAACAAAATCATGACTTAGCCTCCCTCTGCCCTCAACTTTAATTTTGCAGATTTTCCCCCATTCAAGAACAAGTGGGCATTCCAAAGGAAAGAGATAGCATCTAGAGAAATACTTTTTTTCTCAAAGCAGTTACAAAGACAGCAGAATTTATGTAATTTGTTATAAACAGTAGATACTAGCCAAAAGAAAAAGTACAGCTGAGCACCATATCTCTACCCAAAAAGGAGCTACAACATGATTCTACTAACCAATGTGGCAGCAAAATATGCTGTGCTGAGTGGAGGACAGGTGGGTCTGCTGCACCTTTCTGTGCACATCCAGCCATCCAGCTGACAGCCCAGTCCACAGGACTGATGTGCTCACTTGAAAACTGAAGTAAAAAACCCCAGCTCTCAAGAGTTTAATGTTCTCCCAATATTCCACTCATGGATCACGCTGTTATCGGCTACCTTTGATTTACAAAGTCCATGCTCATGTTCCTCACTGTTTCTTAATTCACTCCACCTCTCAGCTTTCTTCTTTTAAAACCACTACTACATTACTATGCTGATAATTTCTCCAAAGACCCTTCACTTTCCTCAAAACATTTCTGCAAACACAGTGTCTGTCAGGGAGACACTGGAAACCTGAGCAAACACCAGCCAGGCTGAGCCAAACATCCACCATTCCGGACAGACTGATCCTCAGTGACACTTACCCAAGTGATTCTGCCAGCACTTCAGACTTGCCTCCTCAATAAAAGGTCTGGCAACAGTTATATCCACTTGGCCACGATCGTTGACAGGTAGAGTCACTTTGAAAGCTTCTTCTAAAACCTGTTTTTTACTGTGGATCAGCTCTGTCCAGACTCTGTTTATGGCCTTTAAAAGCAGCTGGCGACCTGCATGGGTACAAGATCACAAAGAGCAAGCTTTTTGGGCTGCTTATAGAAAAGGTGTTTTTACAGTAGTGAACCAAATAATTTCTGCAATTAACACTCTAGTTTTTCCCCTCTTGCATGACACACAAAATGCTTTGGCCAGACTGTCTTTTTTTTGCCATTAATATTCTGTCAGACAGTATCTAACAGTTAGTTTTGGCAATTTTTTCCTTTGTGAATCTGAAACATTGGCTCTGATTATTGTGATTCTTCTCCCACATCCATCTTTTAACAAAATGAGATTTAAAACCCAACAACTTATACTAGTATATGCCTACAAACACACATACAATTCCACACATACATTACATTTTACTACTTTTATATATGGCTGTGTGCATAAATACACACCTGCATAAATATTGAATATATCCATGTGAGAAGAAAATAAAGATAAAATCACTGAATCCTTTCCTTCCACAGCTAGTATATAAATTTCCTTTGAGTAAAATATGCTGAGGATGTCACTGAATAATAACTCTATAGCTTTAACCAGTTATTTCTTACCTGTAATCATGTAAGCTCCAGCTGACACAAAACCATGGTGCACACTTAAAAGGACCCTTTTCTGTTGTATCCAACTCAGTGCATACACAGCAGTATTTCTAATTCTGGAGCATGTCCAGAACAATGTTAAGAGCTTTTGTTATTTTAACAAAACAGTGACTTATCCTGGATATGTCTGTCTTGGTATTTCTACCTGGCTTTTTCATCTATTTTTGGTGTGTTTTTATACATACACCCCCCCAGCCCTAAGAGTAACTGGGTAGAAGCCTAGAGAGGACTATAAAGCAGTGGCATTAGCAGAGATCTGTGGCTTGGTCACTCTCAGATTACCTTCACTGACATCTTGATTGTAGACTCCATCTGGTTCTATATCAGAGGGGATCATAATGTGCCAAGTTGTCATCCTGGCTTCTGCTTCCAATCCAAACCCATCAACGTTGCTACAAATACATAATAATTAACAACCACCAGACAAAGGAAAACTCAAGCAAAGGCATTTGATTCCCTGTGACAGCATCACAAACATAACTGTGTGCTACTACAGCAACCTGTCTTCAGTTCTGTCCTCTTCAGTTCTGACCAGCTGTGGTCACAAGCTGAACTGAAGGTTTATCAAGTGTGACATGACATGGGCACTGGTGTCAGGAAGACAACAACATTTGAAGAATCACAAACCAGACAAGGCCACAAGTGGAGAACTTCAGGGTTTCTGCTGCTGCTTACCAAGTGTCTTTGGATGAAACACAAGTTGTAATTCTTTTTGGAAAGAAAAAAAACAAATAAAGTGAGGTAGGTCTTTGCAGCACTGCAGAAAAGTAGGTGTCTACAGCATTTGTCCTGGGCACCTGGTTTAGCAATGGTGGATGGATTTGTTCAGTGCTATACATCCAAGCACCAAGATATGGAAGCTGTATGAAATGCCTCAACAGACAATAAATCCAGTGACAGATCCCTTTGACTATTAATTACTTAGCACCAGTGCTTCTCTCTACCTTGAAAACATTTCAAATTACCAAAGGATAACAACAAAATGGTTAGATAAGAACTTGTGCCAGTATTTTAAAGTACCTGTGTAAAAGGAGGTAAAAATGTTGGCCATACCTGGGCTCTTCCAACCCAGTTTATCTCACAGTGAATCACTTAATCCTGGCTGCTTTTCCCTGGCTGGAAGTTAACATACAGTTATCCAGAATATGCTGACTTATTTGCAAGATGTGTGTCTTTGCTGAGAGAGAAGAGGCCACAGCAATGCTGGGAGGGCTGGAGCAGCTCTGCTGGGAGGACAGACTGAGGGAGTTGGGGCTGTTCAGCCTGGAGAAGAGGAGGCTCCAGGGGGACCTCACAGCGACCTTCCAGTGCCTGAGAGGGGCTACAGGAAAGCAGGGGAGGGACTGTTCACAAGGGTTTGGAGTGACAGGATGAGGGGTAATGGCTTTAAGCTAGAAAAGGGCAGATTTGGGCCCTTTTCTAGCCTAATTTAGGCTTTTTCTAGCCTAGATATTAGGAAAAAGTTCTTCAATATGAGGGTGATAGATCACTTCAGTGGGTTGCCCAGAGAGGTGGTGGAGGCCCCATCCCTGGAATCATTCAGGGTCAGGCTGGATGAGGCTCTGAGCAGCCTGACCTCGTTTGAGATGTCTCTGCCTATTGCAGGGGGGTTGGACTGGATGACCTTTGGAGGTCCCTTCCAGCCCAAACATTCTATGACTTTGACACTTCACAGCCCTGGTTCTGGAAGGAACTTCTGTCTGAGATATTTACCTTCCCACGTGCAGGTTAATCAAGCAGTGAGCTAGGCAGCTGATGAACTCTTGGTCATGATTTCCAGGTCCCAAAATTAAGTTTCTATTCACAGTAAGGACCCTCAGGGAATCAAGGAGAGCCACTTGCTGAGGAACAGTCTTGTGTGCCCTTGAGAACTGGTAGAGGATGGTCCTGTTCAGGCAGTGGTAAATAGCATCCAGCGACAGGCCCTGAGATCTTCTTTTTGACTGATGTGAGATAAAAAATCCATGATCAGATAACAGCAGGAAATCAATCTGCTGCCACACAACCTTCCCCTGAATCGACCCATACCCATTTCTCAAAATGAGTATTTTACTAAAAGCATTGATTCCATGAATTTCAAGGACCAAAATGACATTAACACATGATGAAACACTTATAATTTTAACATCTATAAAGATGCTGCTGGTTTGTAACATGAAAGTCTTCTAACAATCTCCAACAAAACTGCATGAGGAAGCTTCCCAAAAATGTCAAGGTATATTGTGAAAGCTTCCCAAAATTCATGTGAGGTAAATTTCATTGTTTACCTTGAGATATTTCTAAAAAATGTCATCAGAAAGCAGTTTTTACTCAACTGCCCCATATTAAAGCATTCCACAGGGAGAAGATGTGCTAGGAAAGGTCAGTAAAGCAAGAGCAGGGCTGGGGAAGAAAAGCACATTGCTGTGCTGCCACTGACATCAGCCCATGGATTTCAGCAGAACCTGGGAAGATGTTCCCACAAGCAGCCTCAGAGAAGAGCAGTTACCTGTGCAATGAGCTGGATGATGAATTCCACGAGCAGTTTGGATTCTTTGTTGAACATGCCCTGCCAAAGCTTATCCACCACTCTCTGTGTGAAATAGAACACGTTGTTCACCAGCACTTGGTAGCTTCCCCCACTGGTGATAGGCAGGGATGCATCTTCACCTAGGCAACAAAAAGATCCCAAAGTTTACTCCTTTTATCAAAAAAAAACCCCCACACCTGCCTAAATACATTCACATTAGTTTGGGCTTTCTAAACTTCTGTAAAAGATCAAAAGACTCAGTCAAAGAAAAAGCCAAAACCTCATGGCTTCCCTCTAGTCATCTTTGATGGTAAGTCACTGTTCAAATCAACAGTCATGGAGACCAAAAAAAGGGGGTCTGGGGCAGGAAGAGTCCAGGAGCAATGGAACCCCTGTGATCCTCAGGCATCACATTTATGTAGTTGTCCTTTTCAGCTGGAGCTGCCTGCATGCAGAACCACCTGCAGCTTCTTTAAATTATACCTTTGCTTTCTTAAAAAGAAAATTTAAGCAGCTTGAGATGAGAAGTCCCATCAGCTGGCAGCACTTCCCTCTCACTGTGCTCTGCTCTGTAAAGCTGAGTGAATGAACATCAGCTGCATGGACATAAATACCAGTCTAACTATATTAAGAGAAGCTTGAAAACTGCAAATCATTCCATTAAAAAGAAAAAAAAATAAAATCTAAGAAAAAAAAATCTGTGGTGTTGATTTTGCTGGAAGTTCCCCAACATTTATTCACTTGTTGCCTCATCTGCACATAAAGCAACTGATGGCATCACACCTGGAGGAAGCTGGCAAAACCCTGGAGAAGAAAAGCCTGGAGAGACCAAATCCTGCTCCTGGGCTGTACAGAAGTACTGGTAAGGACAGGAGATTCTTCTCAGAACCTGACCCAGAACTTCATGCAACGTTATTCTGGGTTTATTTTCAAACACACTGCACCCAGAGTAAGAGAAATCATTGCTCTGGCAAGGGAGGGGGAGCCTCACAAGCACTTCTAACAGAAACACATTGCCCCATGACATCTGGGGTAGAGGCAGAGCAGAACAAGAGCTCCTGGGAAGTCCAGCAGGCCACTGTCAAATACAGCTGGGCACCTGAGCAGCAATGTTCCTACAGGCTACTTCATGACCATCTGTAAACCATGGGGCAGCCTACCCTGCTGACATCAGAGTTGCATGCTTCTAATTCTCTTCCTACCCACTCACTAAGCAGACCAAGGGAGTGTTGATCTCAGGAGCTTTTTCCTGGGGTTCTGTGTTTGTAAGAAAACTACAGTAGGAGGAAATGGAAAAAAAACTGACTTTAAAAACCAAAGTCCCCCTGGTGACAGATTACAAAAGCTCAAGATAGCTTGAGCAAGGCAAGAAGAAGAGAGATGATGCAAGATCCAGTTTCAGTTCTTTTTGACATGACTGCAATCTGTCTGGCTTACATATCCAAAAGCTTCATGCCATATAGTTTTCTCTGAATAACCTATTTTGCAGCTTTAGCACAATCAAGACAGTGAGGGGCCATGCAAACAGCAACACTGTTTGCACGTCAAAGGAAAGGAAAGGGCAGAGAAAAAAATGTCAAGACAACCAAGTTGTAATAAAACAGGACACTAACAAAGAAAAAAATCAAAACCTTTTTCTCCAATTAACAGATTGAGAATTAAACTTTGCTATATTACCCAATAACACATCAGCTGCAAGCAAGTGGTCCATCACTCCATCCAAAACATACGTCTGGAACTCCTTCTGCTGTGTTCGTGTTGATCTCTCAGGGGAAGCCTGATAAAAAGAAATGTGATGTTAAGATAATTAACATATCTGAGTGAGCAAAAAAGGGTGGGGGAGAGGGGGTGTTCCAGGTGAATTTCTTTTTTCTCAGCTCTTGTGAACTATGTTTTTTTCTCTTAACATTGTCTCAAGTAAAAAGCCTTGGCTTTATCTAGGACTACAGAGAGCAGACATCAGCTGCAGGCAGTCTTGCAGAGGGAGCATTGTTCCTGTGTAAATTCAGTAAATTTATCTGCTGCCACAGCAGGAACTAGGACAGGACACATTCCAAAACAGCACACAGACCTCTAACTAAACATATGGTCAAACTGTGATCCCCTCAGTTCACACAGTCACCTCCTTCAGGAAAACCCAGCCCATGGACAGTCAGAGGTGGCCTGATCTCCTCCTCTCCATGGGGTTCTGCCTCCTACTGCAGTCAGACCACAGACAGATCTGCTCAACTTCTCCAATTCCCTTTGCACTTAAAGGGGAAAACCACTTCACCACCTTGTGTTGTTCAGTGCATTCTCAGTCATACCTGGCTGAATGATTCACTTCAACAGTCCCAGAAAGCAACAGAAGCTGGAGGCAGCCTGCTCTGCCTTGCCCTGAGCAGCTCAGCACGTGTCCATACCCAGTTCTCTCTTTATGCTGAGGCCAGTGACACTGATGTGTAATAACAAATTCAAACAGCAGCAAAGCAACTGCACCCAATTGAACATGACCTTAACTATGCTTCCTGATGTCTGTGTATAACTGCATTTCTTGGCAATTCATTTTTTGCTTTGTGGCAGCACAGAGATGCCCAAATGGCCCAGGAGCTTTACTAGGAAATAAGCACAGCCCAAAACTCCTGCAGCTGCCAAAAAAATCAGGAAGACTCAGCAACACGTAGAAGAGGTAACAAACAGGTCTGTCAAAGGGAATGTGAATTGGCCTGGACTGAACATTTCCAAATGCATTGTCTGAAGGAGGTGTGGGCAGTTAAGCAGCAACTGAACTCCTCCTGCCTGGCTTCAGCACTACCAGAAGGAGAGGGATGCTTCCTGCAGGTGCCATGGACAGGACAAGCTACAGGAGGATGGCACAGTCATTTTGTGAGTATGTGCTTATAGCATGTGGCACCACACGTCCTGCCACTTCTTTTTATCCAATGTGAATAAAACAGAAACCTTAACATTGATACAGTGATTTGCTATGGTTTTATAGTCTCTAAAAAGCCAATACAGCTGTCATTATTTTCTATTTAGAATATTATTTATTTCTAAAAAGGCAATACAGGTCTGAAAGGTGTTTAACAAGTGAAGCATACTCCACAAAAATAAAACTTGAGGAAAGCTACAACTTCTCAGGCTGTGCACTGGCTAAGATGTCAAAACAAGATCATGGCTGCTCTAAAGAGAGGACAAAACAGAAATAAACCAGTGTGCTCAGCAGCTGACAGAGCCATATGACTGGCCAAACAGAAGCTAAGGAGCCTGCCAACAAAACCAGTAGTAGAGCTCTGGTGTGGAGGGGACAACAAGACAGCAAGAAAAAAGCTGGGTAAGCAACACAGAGACTGTCAGCACCTGAGCTGGTCACCAACACACACAAATGCTGAGGGCAGAGGGCAGGGAGATGTCCAGAAAACATTCTCAAAGGAAGACAGAGATAAACCCTCTGAATTTGCTTTCTTAGGTTTGTCAAGCTGTAAAGAAAGGTGATCTAACTACTACCTAAGAGCCACTAGTGTTCTTTTGGGTTTTTTCCTCTTATTTCATGACAATCCTCAGGATTCTACTGAACTCCAGGTCTTCACTTCTCTAAGTTTGAAAGGTAAACATTTTAGGGAATGAAGTGTCAAAATAAAGTCCAAACAATCAAAACAAAGCACAAAGGAACTGTACCTCTAGCAGAAGATCTACCAGTGGGGTCTGTTTGCTGGCTGGTGTGAGGCACAAGTTATCGATTATCATCACACGCATGAAGTCAAACACAAACTTCTTGGCAGGGTGGTTGGTGAGGTATGTCTTGGTGCCAACATTGCAGTACTCTGACTGGCTCCTGTTCATGCCAGAGTCAGCTGCAAAGGCTTTAAACTCTTCAGCTGGGGACCCAACTTCATCATCAAGGTCAGTGACCTGTGAAAAAAAGCAAGTTAAAACTCTAGAGATCAGCCAGCTGACAGCAGTCTTCTCACTACTCTATTCTTTACTTGTCTTTCACAGGCTATTCATGTTTTGCTTCTTAAAAAGCCTTTTTAATAGATTATTATGTTCATGATCAGTTCCCTAAAACACAATAGGAGAAACACCCAAATTCTACTTGCAGATTCCCAAGACAAACAGCAACCAGTGAAGACTGGCATGAGCTAGGTGAATATTTCACATTACCACCACATTTTACATTTCACTTACCAATTTTAGCAATTTCTAGATCCTTTGCAAAAGTAATTTTTCTCATTGCAAGAAGTTTTGAAAAACATTATTAACAAAAATAGTTAAAATAAAAATCAAGATGGCAGCCAACTAAAAAAGATTTATCAGGTTTATATGACAGAAAACAAAAAAGGAACTGAGGCTGTTTTTAATACAACACCTCCATCAGAGTGCAGTTATGGGCCAGCCAGGTTCCCAAAATCTCTAAAAAAATAAGAAAGGGTCTCTACAGCTTTCCTGCTTGTGATGAACAAGAACCTTTGAGGAGCCAGCTCTTGAAGAGGGCTGTAACAAAAGCCATGCTCCAAACACAAGAGGAGACAATATGGTTTCTCTCAACAGGCTTACATGTGAAGTAACCAAACGTTGAGGACAATCTATTTCACAGGGGACTCATTAGTTCTACAGGGAAATGCTGGAGGAGTAAATCCAAGAGAGCCCTCAAAGAGTGAGGAACTCAGGCTATCAGCAGCTACACAGAGTTTCAAGAGGTCTAGGAGCTAAAGTAAAACCTGCTCTGAGACACAAGGCTCCTCTAAAAACATTATACAGCTGAATGCCAAATCAGCATTATCACTTTATAAGGAGCACATTTTTTTTAGAGGGAGAGTGAGCTCAAGAGCTCCTAGGACCTACTTCAAGTGCAAGTTTAACTTAAAAGCAAAATAAACTGTCTTTAGGAGAGACTCATCAGCATACATCTTTAAAAATCTCCCACTTCTATTAAGAGCAGGACAGCATGTCTCCAGTAAGTATTTCCTGGAGAATTTTATCCTACCCTTCCTAGTTCTAGCATTAGCCAACCTGTAGCCTAACTATCCTTCCATGTTCTTAGTACAGTGACTTTTAGATGTTGGCTAACAATAACTGTGTTTCCTTTCCATCCACATTCTAGAAATAGTGCCCTCTGTAAATGACTCTAAGCTCAAAGAGTACTTCAGTGAGCAATACAAAAACCTCACTCTCCTGGCTTGAACTCAGCAGTTCCAGGTAATACAAGAACACTGCTTGGTGGCTAAGCCACAAAAAAAGAAATGGGAAGTGGGAGAAAAAAGAAGCTTCAGCTTTTGTCACAGTCTCCAGAGCAGAGGGCTGAAAGCATAGCCTGACTCAGCCTCTTTTGGTTTTGTAAATATGAACTAACATCACTCCTAGGATTGAAAATAATGGTCCACTATAAAATATATAAACCATCTACATTTGCCCTAAAATGCAGTTTCAGGTGTCACTCCACAGCAACTGCCCTTCAGTTGAACATGCACTTCTCCCAGTTCCAAAAGCCAAGTACAAAATATCCAACCCTAACCTATGACTTCTTTCTGCAGGGTAATTAGACCTTCATCTCTGTGTGACTGTTAATTGAGAAATCCTTAAAACCACTAGTCAAGGGAAAAACCCAGCAGCTAGCTGGGTGGGTTTCTTACCATCTCAGAGTAAGGCCGGATGTTGAAAGGGAACACTGTTGCTGCCAGGGCACACAGGAACTCTGGACTCATCCACAAGGAAACCAGGTCGGGCACATTGTGATACAGGTACCTGAAGAACTGCATCAGGGTGACTGGATACTCCCGGAGCCAAGAGCCCTCTTCCTCTGACTGCCAAGGCTGGGTGGGAACACAAACAGCACCTCAGCACAGGTGCCACTAAGAGAGGAAGGCTCACTACAGAAAGGAGCTGCTGGGAGAGGAGCTGCAGGGCCAAACATTCACCCAAACACACTGGAACACAGGCAATGAACACGTGATCCTGAGTGATCCCAGATGGGGCCAAAGGGGATCAAGCACATGGACAAGGACTTGTTCAGCCAGAGCAGAAATAAGTCACTGGACGTGTTGCCAGGCATGTAACCAAGTGTGAAAAGCACACCCAGAACATGCCCAGAGATGCTGGAGCACCTGTCAGAACACATGGCCAAACATGTGTCCAGAACACATGACAGAAGTGTCCCACATGTGACTTGATCAAACAAGTGACAGAAAATGACACAAAATGTGTTTGAGCACATCCCAAAGGTGACCAACCTCACTCAGTGTGTCAGGACATGTGTCTGAGCACATCACCACACAATGAACACTTGGATAAATGTGACCAAACACATGGCTAGTCTTGCCTCCAGAATGTGACAACTGAACAAGCCACCAACAACACACACCACGTGTCCAAACCCTGTGCCTGCAACAGGTGACAACAGAAGATGTGAGAGGAGAACGTGTGCCCAAGCCATCACCATCAGGTGACTGCACACAGGGCAGCACAGCAGCATGCCATAAATGCAGGAGAAACATGTAGCTGAACGTGACAAACATGACAGCAAGACATGTCATGACAAACAGGCTGGAACCATAGGATGAAATGCAGCCAGACACACGACTGAAGGTGTGATAAACCCACAGCAGCCCAGCACAGAGCTGTAACCCCTGCCTGAGCAGGTGCTCCAGCACATCACACCCAGGAGACTGGCCCTCTTTACAATACTCCACTAACTATGAGACAAAACGTGTCCTAACATGGGATGATTCCAAACGTGTTGGTAAACATGACCTGACCCCTGTCAATCCAAAATGGGGCAGCACACCTGAACATAAGCCTTGGGAGGGAGACAGCACATGTCTCTGAACAGGTCAGAAACGTGCTGAAGAGGTGAGGACCAAACATGTCACAACAGGTCACCAGCAAGAGAGAGAACCTGTGACAACAGGCACATGTACTGTAGCAAGTCATGAACATGGAACCAGACACACGTCCAGAAGAGACTCCTGAACCTGTTCACATGGCAGAGACATGCAAGCATTGATCCTCAGAGGATGCTGCAAACACAAATGATCACACAGGCAACAACCCAGCAGGTGATGCTTGTCACACACTTCACAGGATAGTTTTCAGCAGATAATGCACTCTGGCTCCAATGAAAGACAGAATTTTCCCACTGAGAAACCCCCTTTGGTTTCCAAACCAAACTGTTCTTGATGTTGGATTCAAAGGTAGAAGACAACACATTTTTCTGGCAGTAAATTCATTTCCTCCAGCATGTGGCTATTAATAGTTGGAGGGACTTCTCTGCATGTGGAAGGTTCATGCACGAGATCTGCAGCTCACATAGCTCTGAGCAGATGGGATACAGTCCCAAACATTCCCCCAGAATGGTAATCAGGAAAGAAATTCAACGATCTCTGCCAGGAGCATTTTATCTCTCTGCTTTCTTGTTGTGATTTAATTGCAGTAAAACACAAGGCCCAGCCTTTTTGTGAAGCAGCAGTGTTAATTTTGTGGCCACTAAAACTTCTACTGATACTGAAAAATAAAGTAAGGTAGAACAACCCACTGAGAGTGATGGTTTTCAAGTGTTATGAATTTAACCAACAGCTGGGTTTGTTGTGACACTAACAAAACCTCAACTTTTCCAGTTTGGCTTTTGACCTCATGACAAACTTGAACAATTCTGTATATTCAAATAGAAGCAAATTTTTTATGCTTACAGAATTCAGCATGCTCCTCAGCATGCCCAGCAACAAGAAGGCAGCTTCTGTGCAAACATTGTGTATTGAAGAGGTGACAGTGCCACAGGAAGCAGGAACTCCAAATATGAATGTCCAAATGGAATCTAAATCAAACTGTAAGAGGGGAAAGAGAAGACAGACAACATTAAATAATCCCTTCCTCCTGTACAATGTGACACTGCTTTTTATTGTACATACAACATGCTTATTTGGCAGCATGAATTGCTTCACACCCTCCGAAAGTTTCATGTGAAGGTCACATATCACTGAAGAAATTCCTTCTCACCATAACCTCAACTCTCACCTTCTCAAAGTGTGTCAGTGTTTTAAAACAAGAAGGGACCTGTCAGCACTGTGAGCAGGGGGGAGCTCCATGCCCCAGCCTCACTGCAGCACCATGAAGGTGCTGTGCTGGGGGTGTTCCTCTGAGCACAGGGGCAGGCCCAGCACCTTCCAGCCTGGGGCTTTTACTGCCCAGTTCCTACAAATAACCGTCAGCGATCTAAACGGCACCTTGTCTGTCTGGAGCGTGGCCTCTCTCTGTGCTGAGGCTCCCTGGGACTCTGCTGTGGAACATAAAACTCCCACTCAGGGGCGTACAGTTAAAGAAGTCTGCAATCAGCCTGTTGAGAGTAGGGATATTTGCCAGCAACAACTGATGTGCCTCCCCACAGACCCATGGAATCTTCTGCAATAAACGCTACTTCGCTTTGTCTTTAACCTCATGAAATCCCTAAAATAGCAACACCCCGTTCTTAAAATAATAAATAAATATACAAAGCACCAAAAAAACCCCAAACAATAAGGAAAGCAAGGACACAACGATGCCCCCTTCAACGCCCACACCGTGGCAGCCCAACCCAGGGAGCTGCTCTCCCTTCACCGCAGCACCGGGGATGGGTGAGCCAGGCTGGGTCCTCCCCCCGGTGCCCGGTCCTCCCCCGTGTGCCAGGCTGGGTCCCACCCCCCCTGTGCCCGGTCCTCCCCCG